CAGCTGTGGTAGCTCCTCCTCCGCAGCCATTCGGTCCTTTAGAGCCCGCTTGAAGTTCCTGCAGGTTCGTTCAAGCTCCTGGTCTAATGGTAGTAGATCTCCCGACTGGCTATGGGTCATGCACTACCTGCACACAATCAGCAGAAACAACCCGTGAAGGCACACAGGTGGAAGAGATAAAATGCAATAAAGAAAAAGCTAGAGTAACTTATTTTCACGTTTCCCCAATAACCTAGAGTTTCCCCGGCAACGGCCCCAAAAACTTGACACGCCAAAACACAACACCAAACTGCAACCAAGTGTAATCGCAGTAAGGGAATGCAGCAAAGTGGCAAGTTCTATTATCAACCCGGGGTCTAGATCTACTGCTTACTCCGTGATTATCTATTATCTAGCCAACTAAGTCAAGTGATTGTTGTTTTAAGCAAAAGCAGTAAGAAAGCAGGAATTTGTTCGGTTTTCTCAAGCAAAGAAGAGTCACTCGGGAATGAGTCCCCCTAGCTCCTTAGTTAGGTCTCAATTGTAATTACCCTGGGTTGATTTACTATTGATTAGACTGCGGAAGATCCGACAGTAGCTTGGAATCTCTTAAGCTGACCAAGCCCTCTCAGTCTAACTACCCGGCAAACGACTAGTCTTCACCGGGATAGAAAGCTAAAGCAAAAAGCACAGAACTCCACTACTGGAATTGGATTCTAGTACAAAGCAGTAAACTGGCTAACTCTCGTATAGCCAATCTTCTACTACCGAATGATGAAGCTCTAACAACCTAATCAGATTCTATCTATCTCAGGTTGCAGCAGAAATCAAGAAAAGCTTATCAGACTTCAATCAATTCAATAAAACATGCATCATTCGATTTAAACCAAACAGTATAATCATCCCAAGTCATTACAATCAAATTCCTAACACATGGAACTAGGGTTCTTCGTACCCAAGTGAGAGAAGGGTTCTACTCCATAGAGAGAGAGAGGAAAACAGAATACAAAACAGTCATACTCATGATAATGGGAAGAATCTGCTTTGGGATGATGATTTCCACTCCTATGACGATCTCCAAGCTCGATTTGATGAAACCCAACTCCAAGATTGCTTCTAGGAGGTGTTCTTCGCACTTTCTCTCTCTAGGGCTCTGTTTTTGCTCTCAAAAGTCGATTCCCTCACTTGTGGCCCGAAATTGGGTAAAAACCAGAAAATCCCGATCACACGGGCAGGCCACACGGCCGTGTAGCATACCGAGATGCCCGTGTGAGGTCAAAACGCCGCGTTTCCAATAATTGCACTTCAGGCTACCTACACGGCCAGGGACACACGGCCATGTGGCTCACCCAGTCTGCCCGTGTGAAGCCTCGCATAATCCCACACGGCCACATTGCTCCTTCACACGGTCGTGTGGGTTTTATTTGTGCCCGTGTGGCTTCCTCAGCGACTCGCCACGCGTCCGATCTTTGTCCAATCGACCCCGAACTCGCTCCCAAACCTTCATTCACTTACTAGGTCCTGAAATATCACAAACAAGCACAACCTAGCGTGAAATCGGTCTAAAACACGAGAATCAACACCTCAAACGATTCCAGAATAGGGGTAAAAACATGTTCAATTAACGGTTTATCATCTCCCCAAGAGATTTGTCTAGTCTTTGTTGAGTCTCTGAGTAGTTCTTCCTTTTAAACGTTGAGTTTGGAGATATCAATACTTAGCAGTAACGACTAATTATGTGCTTATTCATTCTTCAATTAATTATGCGAGTGCTTTCTTCGTGTGACTTCTTGGGTTTTTCAAACCAGATTATTCAACCTCTCCAATATTTTTGTGACGAAGGTTCCAATGATAATTTGGCCATTATGATGTCGACGTCTAAGCTCTTGTGGATCATGATTTGACTATTATCCTCCTTTCTAGTTGAGTCCCACTTTGATAGAGAAGAGCAGTTATGGGCGTGACAAGCTTCTACAAGTAGTCTGGTGTCGTGTCCCCATTACACCGTTAGATTATATAGCTCACACCATTAGTAGACACTAGTGAAGTGTTTGTACTCTCATCTCTAGTAAAATGCACACTCTTGTTATGAGTGGGTTGCTCAAATTCTGGACACTAGTTGAGTGTTTATAATCACTCAACATCGGAGGGGTGCTTATAGTAGCTTAATATGAACACCTCATGGCTTAACTTGAAAGCATGAAATGTAGTTTTAAGGTTCCCAATTTAGAGAAAACAAGGTGATGAACTCTTATATCAAGATTGATAATAGTTACACAAGTTCAAAATAAATGGAAATGAGATTAACTCTTTATTCCACATGATGCACACAAAGTTTGGTACATTTATTCAACATGATAAAGTCTCTCGACATTATTTGCTTGAAAAAAATCGAGTCTTGAATTCAGCTTTATCCTTTGGTGTGTGTGTCTACTGGTCCCCATGACTTCGCAGTATGTTGTTGCTTAGATGACCTAGAACTCCATCAAACTTCAACCAGCCTGCATCTATCATTTTCTGAACCATGTTCTTTAACCTTCTACAATTTTTGGTTGAGTGTCCAGCAACTCTTGAGTGGTAGCCACAATAGTCATCTGGTTTGTACCAAGTCGGGTAGGGAGGTTGTATTGGCTAGCATGGTTTAGGAGTAATCAAACGTTCTTGGACTATCCAAGGGAAGAGTTCATTATATGTGATTGGGATATGATCGATTTGCTTTATGTCCCTCCTGAGAATATTTTGTGACACTAGTGGAAAATTCTGAATCATTGGTCGAACAATGAGGTTTGGAAGTTGAAATGTCGGTGTAGTATCCACTACGTATGAATGAGCTTGACTATTTTGAGGGTGATACTTCCACGTCTTCCCTTCTGCTTTTCCTTGTATTGAATGAACTTTTGCTTCCATTTTTTCATGGATTGATCTCACAGGAGCTTCTAAACTTCCCATCATGCCTTGCGTAATTCCTTTCTCTATTCGTTCTCCAATTATCAACAAATCGTTGAAGCTAGTTGTTGTAACTTCCAAGATGTTATAAAATGGAGGCTTCAATATATTGAGGAATATTGATACAATTTGTTCTTCTGGTAGTGGGGGTTGAATACAACTAACTTTCTTTTTCCACCTCTGAGCATACTCCTGGAAAGATGCATTCTCCTCCTTATCCATATCTTGCAAGTCTTCCTTATTTGGTGACAGAGTTTGAGGGGCCTTGTGGTGTATCGTAAACTCAGTAACGAGATCTCCCCATGTTCTCGCCTTTGTTTTCTCGAGATGGAGGTACCATTCCAAGGCCATACCCTTAGACTATATAGGAAGCATCTCATCATCAATTTCTCATTTTGAGTATGGTTGGCCATTGTATGATGATACGTGACCAAATGATATCTAGAATAGGTGGCGCCATTATATTGTTCGAACTATGGCATTTGAAATTCATGGGGGAACACCATGTATGGAACTTCATGCGGATGCGATGCATCCATAGCCTCGTATGATTCAAATTCCTTTATATTCTCACCCATGCACCCGCTTTTGCCTTTCAATGTTGTGTTGATCTCTTGCTCTTCCAAATCATCTAAATCGTGTAAGTTATCTTGTTTTGATTCTTTAAGATCTTCTTGATCATAGATGTTCTTCGAAGATTTGAAGTCAAGCTTGTAACTTGATGTTCCTTCACCGTGTGGTTGGCATAAGTTTTTGTCCTCGTGTAACGCATCACCATCTTTGACTTCTACTGCCTTCTCCTTGTTGAGCAATATCCTCAAGATCATGCTAACTTCTTCTTTCATGCCCTCGCGTCCCATCACTCATCTTTTGATGTCGTCTAATTCTTTGTGGATTAACTCCATAGTGAGCTCGGCCTTGGATTCAGTCAAGTACTTAAGTGTTTGACGTTATCTTCATTGATGAACAACCTTAGAGAATCCCAATTTTGTTAAGTAGTTTCACGGATCTAAATGAGATTAATGCTTGATGGTTTTGCTAAATGATATGATTGTGCATATGCAAGATGAATTTTTAGTTGCTGCATGAATTCTGGTACAATTACATTCATGATTGATCATATAATGAATGAATGAATGAATGAATGTAGAATGATAATCACAATTTAAAAACATTTGTGCATATTTTAAAATCATATTATTGATGAATAATCGATAAAGCACAATTCATCACGTCCTAAGCAAGCATATATAAAAAATTTAACCAATATTACCCCTGTTTAGTTAAACCTAGGATTGTCGGAGGGTTTCAAGATGAAGTTCAAGGTGGCTTGAGAGTTTGTCTTGGATGGCTTAGGCGGCATCTAAACTAACTATATAATGGGTAAGGAGTTCTATGTAATTGGTTCCCAAGTTGCACCCTACGATTGCTCTTTCAAACTTAGTCGGATACCTCAAATCAACCTCAGATTTGAGTTCAAATTGGTTAAAGAGTTTTGCGTTCCTACCTACTATTGTAGGAGTCACGATACACCTTTCATTTTCTAAAGAGATAGCTCGTGTATAGAGATTTTATATATGAATGCGGGTAATTAACTACACGGTAAAGTAAATTCACAAATAAAAACACACAACATATAATAAAGGCAAAATACACTTCCATAGCCATAACTTTCGTCTTAGTGACAATAATAGCCACATTTGGAAAAATACCAAATATAGCCACTTCCGTCCAAAACTTTAACGGTGTCCTCTAACAGACTGACTGTACTAACAGAAATGCTGATGTGGCAATGTTTCATCTACAACACTGCCACATAGATTAATAAATAAATAAATAATAAATTTAATGAATAACATAAAATAATAAAAAAAAACCATTTAACATGAAACTCCCCAATATATGATATATCTATGAAAAAAAAAAACATAAAATCCCTGAATCCCTTCACCTTCCCCATTCTCCACTTTCCTTCCCAAAAATCTTTCCCCTGTTACTCTCCCAAATTTCCCACCCGTAGACTAACCAGATCCAGAAGCAACAAATGGAGCAGCTAAAAGATTTGGAAAATTATCAATTGATGCGCTGCTTTATAAATAACTACCTCACCAATGCCTTTCCGTTCTCAAAATGGCTTCGCACATTAGGGTTTGTGGGTCAAGTTTTTTTCAAGCAATTCTCAGAGCAATTGGCGTCCCATGTCCCGTCGTCGGTTCCAGCACTGGGTTTGTCAAGGATTGGGTTTCTCTTTCGTTGGTGAGAGAGGCTAGCTCATGTTCGCTCATTCCTCATAGAACCCCTTCGAATCCCGCATCTCAAGCTATTACCTCCATACCAGAGCACATAATGGTGAAGAAGATGGAGAAAGAAAGACGAGGAAGATGGAGCTGAGCTGTTAGTATTCGTAGATTGCAGGAACGGTTGATTTTTTGTTTTAATGGAGATCATGAACTGATGTTTCTGGATATAGGGAAGCATCACGGAGGAGCCTGGAGTTAGGAGTAGTTCCGTTGGAAGACAGGGCATCCACGTGGTGCATCTCGACGGAGAAAATGGAGTATGCAGATCTCGGATCTCCGCTGGCCGATGAAGTTGAGGGCTGGGTAGAATGGTGGGCGATGTTATTGATGGAAGAGGGAAGGGGAAGGGTCGTTCCCGGAAAGGAAGCCGAAGAGAAGGGTGGATCTGCCATCGCCCATCGTCGCATCTCCCACCCCTTCCACCGCATCGTTCAGTCACCGGGGATATTGAAACATAGAGCAAAGGAAATTGCGCATCTCGACACAATCTTTACATATCTCGGTTCGAAGACAACCATTTCTCTAGGCAACGCCAACGGTGGATCTAATTCTAGAACCAATTGTAGCCGCGGCGAGGAGGCGTATGTGTTGCAGAGGAATTCTTCCAAACGGAATGAAGGAGAGATTAAGAGAGACAACAATTTTTCTCTTTTTTTTAAACCTTTTTATATAACTAAAAGGTAACCTTTTCCAACATTAAATATTTTTAATTAATTTATGATAAGTAATTATTAAATATTTAAAGAATACGACGTGTCACTTTTGGCTTATTTGGCGCTGACGTGTGCGTTGAGTTGGAACTAGTCAACGAACTATCAAAAAAGTTGACGGTGTTACTAACACCGTTAAAGTATCTAACGGAAATGGCTAGATTTGTCATACAACAGCTAGAAAATCTGGCTATAAGTGGTATTTCTCCAAAAGTGGCTATTATTGTCACAAACGCGAAAGCTATGGCTCTTTAAGTGTATTTTGCCTATAATAAATAGCAAGAAAACTTATCGGTTTAATAAATGCAGCTTGACTCTTAAAAGCCCTCATCGGAGTCTCCATTGTCCCAACCGCCCCTCCGAATCGAGGGTCAGCTCGCGATTTACTCGGAGTCACCATCGATCTTACTTGGAGTGAATCGAACACTCATTTGCCCCAGTCTCGATCTTAGGGTTGAAACCAAGATTTTGATCTGTGAATTTAGAGATTATGGGTATGGGAGTATGGTTACGTGTAGGGAAGTGTATTCACACCCCATAACGCCCCAAATGGGTACTACTTAAATCGATAAGTTTTTAAGGGTTAGGCGTTTTCATAATTTGCGCCTCATTTACGTATTTAATTATGTGATTACATTAATTAGGTTTAAAATATTAAATAATTGATCATACGCCTATTGACGTCATTATCAAATGCAAAGAAATTTTTTTTTGAATAGTTGGACTCGAACCTATCGGTTGCCTACGTACGCGAGTAGCCGGGATCAAACTCCACGTAGTTCGATTAAATCGAGAGGTTTAAATGTTGAGTCTCACACATAGAAATGTGGAGAAAATTTATTAGTTGGACTCGAACCTATTGGTTGCCTACGTACCCGAGTAGTCGGATCAAAGTCCACGTAGTTCGGTTGAAATTTAGCAATTTTAAATGTATGAAATTTAACACATTCTATTGATTGTCTTGAGGTTTGAGTTTTTTTAAGAAAAGGGTTTTGATATTTTAGTTTTAACAACCGAGTTATTGATAATTGTTAAAGAGTTTGAGTAAAGAAATCATGGTCTATTGACCCTAGTTTCGTATTAAGGATTTTTAAGAGAATGTACATGTTGGGATGATTATCCCATAATGAAATTAATCATTCTCAGGACATTAAATATTAAAAGGTTTATACATGTTAGAATGATTGACAGTGAGATAGTCTCAAATATTGCATGAGTTAGTTATTAAAGTTATTAGAGTTGAAATATTTTGAGTTAGAACATCAGCAGATGGCATGTGACTGGCCTAATGGTTTGAAGAGTATGATGTGTATTTAGGTGATATATTTAGGTCAAGGGGTCGATACCCTGAAGGAACCAATATTTAGTGATTTTTAGTTTTTTGTGGACCGAGTGGGGTTCGGTCTTTTAATTTGATAAGGGTAAGGCCCAAGAGAAGCCCTAGCTGCATAGTCCGAAGAGTTTAACGTGTATTTATGCGATATTTAGGTCAAGGTGTCGATACGCTGAAGGAACCAATATTTAGTGATTTTTAGTTTACTCTGGACTGAGTGGTGTTTTGGTCATTTAATACGACGAGGGTAAGGCCCAAGAGAAGCCCTAGCCACTCGGCCACTTCCCCCTTTACTCGATTCTCTTCTTTTCCTCTGGAATCGACGAACTAACAAAGGAAAGAACAAAACAAACCTTTCTTCTCCCCTTCTTCTTCTCACTTGATACCCTCTTCTTTCTTCGTAATCGATCCCCTCATTCCTTGACCCGTCTTCCCTCTATTCTTCTCTCTAGGAACAATGAGGGGAAGGAGCCAAGGGAATGCTGACAAAAGCTAACAGAAGACGGCGATCGACACCAATGACGACACCAGCGAGGGTGATGGAGGTAAGATCATTTTCATTCATATGCATGTCGATTTTAGGGTTTGTTTGAGAAAACATGACTTTTGGTTTGTCAAAATTACTACCATCTTGTAGTTTGCTCGTTAGTAGATGGATTTGTTTGAGAAAAGTTTCACATGGTAGGAAGATGAGATGACTATGAGAGATGACCAGGTTGAATGATTACAAACCTTTACCTTGTAGATTCGGGAAGGAATGAGTTGCTTTCCCACCATTTTTTCCTGCTGCTGTTTGCCCTTTTTACTGCTCTTTATGTGTATGTATGTGTTGTTAGGAAGTGGGAGGTGATTTTTATGAACCTTTGTCGTAGGTCTTTGGCTATCATTTAGTTTTCAGCTGCTGGGTTTGACAATAGCGTGTTTTGGGATTTTTGTCCTGATGTGGTGTGTTCTAGAGAGGAAGTAGAAGTAAAGAACCTTTTTAGAGCAACTCCCTTATTCTCTTTTACTGTTCTTTTTGTCTTTCTGTTGGCGTCTGGAATTTTGGAAAAAGAGGAAGCGGGAGAAGTAAGAAAAAGAGAGTGGGGGAGAGAGTGGTTTGTATAGTTGTTCTTCTCTTTCCTTTTGGCTATTTGTATGTTGGGGTTAGTGAGCTAATAGGAAGAAGAGAATTTGGAATGAGATTTTGCAAAGTTTCGGATCTCCGTGTTGTCTGTATGTTTCTTAGGAGAAAGGAAAGTGCTAGAATGAAGAAGACGAAGAGGAAGAATTTGAGTCCGTCTTTCAGAGGAGGGAAAGCAAGTATCAAAAAGAGGTTGTTTGTTTATTGTGGGCTTGTGGCTAAAGAAAGTGACAGAAGTGGAAGAGAGTTTCAGATTCTTCGGTTCTGGCTGTGTGTTTTCGAAGGGAAGGAAGTGTAGAGTCTATATTTTTCCCGTTGCTCATGGAGTGGAAGGAGGAGGAATGAAGTAGAAGGAGTGAAGCCGTCAGGTGAAGAAGAAAAGAAGAGCCTCCTGTTTTGTAGGAGAAGAGTATAATGTTGGTCTGGCGAATTTTGATTGGATACTAGGTATATAGGTTAGTTGTATTTATTAGATTGGGTTATAATTGGGTTGGGCTTGGTCTGGTCGAACTGGTTTGGTTCGGCCTAGATTGGGCTAGTCTGTTAGACTTACTAATTTGGGCTTGGTTGACTTATGTTGACCGGGGCCTGGGTGATAATTGATTGGGCTTGACTTTGTTGACTTGGTTTGATCCAAGTTGACTTTGTTTGGCCTTTGACTTGAGCCATTTTATTTTATACCATTGCTTATTGTAATTAAGTATAACCGTAAATTTGTACGTATTAGGTAATGAAGAAGTTAATAGAAGTTTTTTATATTTTTTTCATTGCCATTCCAAAACCGAGCCCCAAATTCCCAAAAGGCCAATGTCGATTAAAATCAACTCAATGGCAGCGAGATTAAGCAATTGCCTAATTTGTTTTACCGGTTCAACCAATCACCATCAAACTCTGCCAACCAAGAATCGAATTTGACATTGCCTCAAATCAATATTGACATCTATGATTTGCTATTGCTAATCTTGATGGTCCACGACAAATATGTTTTCCCTAAGCACTTCGAGTAACAATTTAGATGTTTAAAATTAGGGATTGCTAACCTTACGCAATCGAGTTTATTTAATTAAATTGTGTTTTAACCCGGACAAAAAGTGGTGTCTACAGTTTTGATGGTTGGTGTAAATCACCACCAGCGTAACATCATATATGGTGTTGCCCAGTTGGATAACGAGACAATTCCCAACTACATTTGATTGTTGAATACTTTTCTGGAATGTATGAACTCTAAGATGTCGAAATAAGTGATCACAGACGAATGCAAGTCTATCCGTGGTGCATTGCTACTGTACTGGTTGGAGTGCCTCATCGACAACGGCGGATCTAGGACTTATTATAGCACTGGGCCACATTTCATTAGAAAATTAGATAGCGTAAAAAAAATTAATCATAGGGTTTATTACAATGTCATTTTGTTTGGCAAATTAGTTTTCACATGTTTCATTCTTGAAAATGTTATCTCCTGTTGTCTGTAATATCCATTGAAACGGGCAACCTCAACACTAAACAAATCAATCAACTAATCAATTTTATTGTGTATCCATCCTTATTTCCATAGGTAGCTCAGGTAATTTTCAAGAGAACAAACCTTATATTTCTTTTAGTCTTTTACGTTGTAGCCTTTTAAAATTTTAGGTATCATTGTTTATTTTTTGTAGACTAAAATCATCGAGACTAGAATTTCTAGGTCAAATTTAAAGTAATTTGAACATGTTTATCTGAACTATTTTCTAATTACTTGAAGGATATTTATTTCGGTGGACTCCAATTAACCTCGCGATGTGAGTCATTTAACCATTGGACAAATCTCAAATCGAAGGAGGTTAACATTTACTACGTGTTGTTCAGGGTATTGATGAAGCACTGGAGGGGATGCGTTAGATGGAGGTGCACGATAATTATTCTTCTAAGCACACGAGCTTGGTCTGCAAGCATGTCATTCACACTTGGGAAATGTAATATGAAAGTATCTACACACATCGTACATTTGCTATCTTCAAGTCTGAACTAGAGAATGAAGCTTCTTATGTGTTAACGGAGACAAGAATTGAAGCAAATGGGACAGAGACATTCATTCTGAAGAACTGCATGAACCCGAATAAGAGAAGGAGGTTAACATTTACTAGATTAATCATCATCTAAAATGTGAGTGCACATTGTTTGAATCTAAGGGGTTTTCATGCAAACATATGCTTACAGTCACAAAAAATAAGGGATTTACAGCACTACCCTTCACGTGGTTCAAGCTTCGATGGACCCAAAATGAAAAGACATTATCTCCTAATCCTGGAGTTGGAGGTGATGTGACAGAGAAAGTCGGTAGACTGATAATCATTTCTTTTAATCATTTCCCTAAGGCATTGGATGACCATACTCAATGGGCAATTGAGTTATTGAGTGAGAGAATGGATACCACTGCACCTGCAAATCCTCTGGCACCCCTTCCAAGTGAGAAATACCCGAAAATTGGGAAGACTAAGGGAAAATTCAAGTTAGCAGTGCATCGGGCAAAATCTTAAGAAAGTGTTCCCAATGTGAGAAATTTGGTCATATTCGTCTAAGTGTCCGAAGCAAGTCCCAAAACAAGAGCATAAATAACTTCTACTGTGTTTAGGAGTTTTTTTAACTATGATTGTTGTGTTTTATTTTAACATTTTTGTATTTTCAAATTATCTTCATAATATAAGCATGTGTTATTTGATGGTTTAAATTAACTGGAACAGAGAAAACGGTCAACCTGATAGATAAACAGGTCGACTTTCCATGGACGTGGTAGACCACGTCCGTGTTAGGCTGACTAAGTCGAATCTTAACTCAAAATCCGCTCAAACCCTATTCTCCTGCCCCTTTTACTCCACTATTCAACAGTCTCCTCCACTTATTTTTTACCTTCACCTCTTTCTTCTTTTCTCTCCTTTTCCTTCTTCTTGTACCAAAAAACACTAGAAAAGCACAAAAACCTCCATTCTATTTCATTCTCAGCTGCTAATAAGAATAATAAGGTGTGTTTCTCATCCGTTCTTGTCATTTGGGTTAGTTTTTTATCCGTTCATGTTAGATTATATTGTTTTTACCAAACCACCAAAGTAGTCAAAATTGGATTTTTGCCTACTGCTCGCCAGAATCGGTCTACCACATCTTTTTACTGGTTGACCGGAACTGTCTGCAATCGTATGATGATTTGTTATAATTTTATTTGAAACCCCCAAAATCTGCAGGTTTTCTTCTTGTAATTAGATCAACCTCTTCATCAATGGTTGGTTGATATTGTGTGGTGCAATCAGATGATGATTTAAATCTACAAAATTAGCGTTTTTTTTCTGTGTTCCCCAATATTGGTCTACCTTATTCCAGATTCGGTCGACCTATTTTCTTTAATTTCATCAATGTTAGCAAGGTGGACTCATTTTTATTTGATTTTTGCTTCGGTTTGCAAAAATTGGTCGACCTATTTACAATCATCTCGACCTATAATGTTTGGTTTCGTGATAGTAGCAAATTAGAATAATTTTTTGGTGGTTTTTGCTTCCTCTTGCAAACAAAGGTCGACCTAGTGTGCTTGAGGTCGACGCTGATGTTTGGTTTTGATTCGGGCCTAAATGTACACTTTTTATCCCCGTTTCCTTTTGGTGTTTGTGGCATTTCAGCTCCAAAAAGGGTGATTTTACGATAGGTTTGCTGTGTTTCAATGTGTTTTAGAGTCTAACTGGTGAAACCAACCCCGAAGTCGAAAACTGGAAGAAAAGGCGCAAAGACCGGGCAAAGAGGAGGATCCAGCCGCAGTTCATGGTCAGAGCTGCGAGTTCACGGTCGCCAGGTCCATGAACTGGAACCAAAAACCGTGAACCGAAGGGCGTCCATAGGAGTTTTAGAGGTTATTGACGCTAAGGCAGTTCACGGTCGTTAGACCGTGAACTCAACAAATGAAGCGGCGCGTTTTGCGATGTGTTCACGCTCCCGGCCTGATATCACAGCCATCGTGAACTGGGCGCGATCTCTGCATAAATGAAGATCTCAAAGGAGCCCAAAGTGAGAGAAACCTTCTTCTTTTTAAAACCCTAGAGAGAGAAAGTCATGAACCAAGAGGGAGAAGAGGCTAGGGTTTGCTCCAAGTGAAGATTTGGGAAGTTCCTCTTGAAGAGAGGATCCCTACAAGCACAAGGAGAGTTGGAGGCATCACAATGATGGGTTTTTTCTTTTTTCCTTTGTGTTCTTCCTTTGTCTAGCATGGAGTAGTATCCCTTTTCACTTGGGTGTTGTAGAGCCCTAACTTCTACCATGTAGTTGATTTTGTGGATTGAATGATTACGTGTGGGTGGTGTTTAATCTAAGATTGAGGTATATTTCATGGTGATTGTGCATTGTGTGTGCTTGCAATCTATTGTGATATTCTAACCTAGCTTAGAGAGAAACCCCCTTATCTTAAGAGGCTCAAATTGAGCTGAGTTTACTTAGGCATTCCATGCCTCCTAACTAGGTTAATGTAGGGCAAACCTCTAAACATGAATTAGACACCTAGGTTAATTGTGATTAAGCCATCCAAACCTAGGTTTGAGAGAGAAGGTAAGTCAACCCTCAATTGCTTTCCTTGGCCTAGCAATAGAGATGATGGTTTCTAACCATTATTGCACCTCCTACGGTTCGCAATTGCCTTGTCGCTCACCGATTCATTCGATCCCACAGTTCATGGTAGTTAGCTAGGGGGAAGCAACTCCCGAGTGAAGCTTCTCACCAAGAGTTTCAAACCTTTTCACTTTTCAAGTCTTGCTTTTCAATAGTAGATTGTAGATATTTTCACAAACAACATTCCGCTAAATAATGTTTCAAACAATTGAAGTAGGGGTACATGGGCCAGCCCGGGTTGATATTTAAACATACTTGCCCTATATTGCACCCATTTAAGGTTTATACTTGGGCCTTAGGTGGGATTTTAGTATGATATTCGGGTTGAGTCGGGTTGCATCGATTTATGCAGAAGTTATGGCAATTTTCAGATTCTATTTGCAAAAAAGGTTGACATTGTTCCTGATGAGGTCGACCTATTTCCTTTGGTTTCGTCAATGTTAGCAAGTTGGACTAACTTTTGTTTGATTTTTACTTCTGCTTACATTAATAGGTCGACCTATTTACGGCCAGTTCAACCTATGATGTTTGGTTTCGTGATACTAGCAAATTAGACTAATTTTTTTTTTATCTTTTTGCTTCTGCTTGCGAACAAAGGTCGACATATTTTTTTTGAGGTCGACCGGTTCTTTTTGATTTAATGGATGAATGCAGAGTATAGTCGACCTGTTTCCAGACAGGTCGGCTGGGTCTGTTTGGTTTCGTCATTTGGCTAACGTGAATGTTGCTTCTTCAATCTCAGGATGTTTAGAGGAAAGTAGAAAAGAAAGAGAAATTAGCCGCCTCAAGTTCTGAATGGAAAGAGTTCAACCCAACTCTTTTCCAAACTAAGGAGCAAAGTGACAAATATGAAGAGTAGAGAATGCACAACCGCAGGGTGGCTCCTGGAAGGCCATTGACGACTGATGCATATGCTCATTTCGAAGATGGCGAGTTTCTAGCACGATTTGGAACAAGATTGGTTGAAGATGATATCTCTCGATGTACGATACAGTACTTCTACAACAACATCATCTATCAGCGTTATGCAAATGGATCGATTCATTCTTTTAAAATCTATGTGAATGGGGTGGAGATGCGCATCTGCAAGAGTGTGTTGGAAGCAGTACTGGAGACTCCAAACCAAGGGAAGAGAATCGATTCTTACAATTCTTGGAATGAAACTCATTTCTCGAGAGCCAGGCAAATCCAGACTGTATGTGGTCTTCCTGAAGAGGATCATGTTGAGGATTACAATAGGCCAACTATTCTCCAGCTGACAGTTCAAGCCAGAGTTCAAGCCACATGCTCTCCTACAAAATTCTTCCAAAGGGTGGACATCGGTAGGCTGTCACCTAGTTTGACATGGAGCACCTCGGCAAACTACTTTCATATGACATGGTGAACTTGCCGTACTTGATCTTTAAACACATGCTTGGTGTGGCAGAGAGTTCAAACAGGAATCTTCCCTATGTGATGATTATGACTTTGCTATTTGAGTATTTTAGTGTGAATTTAAGATGCATGATGGTTTTATATAGTTACATCCCCGAAGAAGATGGAATTTGAGATGCATGATGGTGTGTATGTCCTAGCATACAATCCTCATGTAGTCCATGATGATGATGATGATGATGTTGATGATGATGATGAGTAGGAGGATCCCGAAAACAAGCCAATGACACAGCCACTGAGTTCAGCTTAACCAGTCACACTATATATTATATGGGGCCGAATTAATGGCATGTACGACTACATGGGACATATGTCCACCCAGATGACTGGCATGTATGACTACATGGGGCAGATGACCAACCAGATGAGCATACTTCAGGTGACGGTAACAGAGATGCGAGATGAATTCCGATCTTTCAGTGAAAGATACATGCATCCCACCACATCCGACTACCATAATGCTAGCACCACCAATGGGGAAAATGCGGATGAGTGAGAGAAGGGAGATGTGTAGGAACTCAATGATTTTATATTGTGTTCTTTGCTGTTAAGTCTTTAAGACGATTTGTTTTGAAACAACTATGATCGTTGATTGATATTGTGTGGTTTTCAATTTTAGGTATGTGTGAGCAATTATGAGGTGTTAAGTTTCTATGTTATGAAGTTATGGTTTCTCGCTATCATGATTCAGTACTGATTATGTTTGTTTCAAATGTAATTTGTACAAGCAAACGAACACACACATCGACATACATAAGCAAAAAAAGTTGAAGGTCATAGGCTGATTTTCCTATACGAGCGAGGTCGACCTGTTAATGTATGAGGTCGACTGCGAGACCAACAATTTAATATACGTTTCACGTGAAGGAGATGGATGAATGGATAATACTTGTGACTTTTGATCTGGTCGACCCGTTGCTATAAATGGTCGGCCATTTCGGTAATGACTGACATCAAGTGGTCGACCTCCTTTCGTTTACGGGCCACCATTTTGCTTCTGACTACATTGACCAAAATTTTATTGTGGTCGGCCATTAACTTATCAACTAACTTAAAAGATCGACCACTAATATATTAATGGTCGACCTTAACGTTTTATTACAGTGACCACGATAGTGAATTCGGTCAACCTAAATCAGGCATAAGTCGACCGAATTGTTCAAGTTACAGTGACTTGCAAAACACCAATAGGCGTTTGAAGATACAAAAGAAAATATAAAGATACTTACATAAGATTAAAACAACCCAATGAAAAATAGTTATACACACATATTCATATCTTGATCCTTGGCCAGGCTTATTCATACTTTTTTGGGATCAAGGAGAATCCTAACATAATATGGGATTCCTAACATATATTTGGGAGTATCTTAACATACTATGAGTCTATGAGCCAGTAGCTAGCTAGCATTCTTCTTACGGTTGTTACTTCTGGTGAGATTCCTTCTTTACCGCAGAGATGTTGACGTGGAAGCCCTCTGGAAATATTAATCCAGGGTATCGAATTGGTTCCCCTCCCTTTATCACCTCCCACCTGATCAAAGCAACCGATGAAATAAATTACAACAAACATTAGGTTAGTACTCGATCGTTGACGCAAATTGTAATATATCATATTGAGGTCGAGGGGAAAGCTATAACTAGAAGGACATGCACCTGTATTTTGTGACGAGGTGGTGAAAAACGATGGCCATCTGAACTTTGACAAAATCTGCTCCAGCACAAAGCCTAACCCCACCTCCAAACACCATGAAATTCTGTGATCCTGAATGCAGTTGCTGGCCCTGCGGATTTCCATTTCAAAGATAAATTAACTCTCGTGACAAACTCAATTGGATGTCTCGTCTAGTGCCATGATCAACGTAGTCAAAAGCGTGATTCTACGTGGAAGTGTGTTGTTGATCAATACAGTCAAAACGTGATTCTACCGTAAGCTTATAAACTTTTAAGAGCATATTTTCACTATACTTGGAAGTGAAAAACGCAATTTTGCGTGAAAGCATTTTGATGTACTAGAAGCAGAAAAATGTAATCGTGTGGTCGTGATAAGTTCATATAGAATTTAATCTGTACCTTCCATCTCCATGGATTGAAGCTCAAAGGGTCACCATATACTTTGGGGTTGAGATGGACCGAAGCAGGATACACCATCACAGTCCATCCAGCTGGAATCAAGTATCCTGCACCAAATTAGAACCCGTTGTTATGTTTGTTGAAGAATAATGATATATAAAGCCAGGTTGAAATGATTCCAAAAGGCAATTAATCAATTTCAAATCTTATTTAAGTAATACACCACCTAACTATTAATTACCATTGACTTCAACATCTTTTATCGCCTTCCTGAAAATTCCAGGGACTATATTTGTAAGCCTCAAGGTTTCGTTGATGACCTACAGGTTACTCAAACAACACAATAAAAAGCATTATTACTATTAGTGACCAGTCTACTGTTCCTTGAGGAAATATGCGCGGTACTACGATGACCTGATTAATAAAAGTTTACCATGTGGGTAAAAGTCATTGATTTGTACTCTTTCCAACTGATTCCTCCTGGTTCAGTACTCCCTTCTTTCCCTTTCAAAATAGCTTCATGTTCTCTCTGAACCAAGGGGAAAACAAAGTCTCTTTCACCATAGCAAACTCGATACTTTTCCTTATATAGATATATCAAGAGCAGATAAAAAGTTTAATTTAGCTTATAAAAGGGCATGTACTTACGGTAAGTTCTTCGAGTGCCGCAGGATGCTTGCTTAAGTAGTGGAGCGCCGTCACAATACAAGAGGAAGTGGATTCGAAAGTTGCGAAAGGAAGTAAGAAGAGCAAATCAATGGCGACCTTCTCTGTTAATGGGCTTCCATCTTTCTTCATTTCTGCTATCATAAAGTCGAGATAATCCTTTCGTTCCTTGTGCGGCGATTCCCGCCTTTGTTCCATCAACCTCTTGATAATATTCAATGCCCCTTTTCGTCCCTATAATAATATATTAAGAACCCCGAAAAAGAAAGGAAATATTAGGTGTTTCCGTGGTTTTACAATGCCATAAATAAATAATAATATGCTAGAGTAAATATTAGATTGCATAACTAAATAGTATTGGTTGCATGAATAATCAACATTCTTACATGAACAATGCCAATATGACGTGAATAAGCTAAAATTCACGTGAATAAATGAAAAAATGCATGAATTAGGTGTTTTGTCGCTAGAGGTCACAAGAAACTTGTCTCCTTGTAGGTAAACTATTCATAAAGTCAAAGAAAAGGGGAGGATCAGCAATCAGACCTGCATACACTTCCAGAAAGAAGTGCCCGGAATGTAGATAGGGAAGGAGATCAACCCGCGGAGAAAAGCATCGTAACATTGTTTGAATTCCCTCACCGGCTCCGTATCAGTTTTCATGCTGAACACCTTCTCGACCGTAAAGCTGTGAATCATCTGCAAGACCGAATGATCCATATGGATAGATGCACATATTTATAAAGCACGAAAAAACAAACTCATGGACTTGAGGTTCGCACCGTCGACACTGCATCTTTTAGTTCAACACTGGGTCGGGCGGACCAGGAGCGAAGGTGTCGGACGGTGTGTCGTTCCATGTCGGCAAGGAGGGATTTGAGTCGCTCCGGTCCGAACTCCTCGAGCACCAAGTTTCTCATGTACTTGTGGACGGAGCCCTGGAGAGCCAGCAAGCTGTCGCTGCCCATGATCTCATTGAAGCTATCGGAGTACCAGGGCAGGAACAGCAATTCCCCGTCTCCTTCTTGCTTCAACACCAAATGGTTCACCTCTGGGTCCGTCGACACAATCACCGGCTTTCCGATCAGCCTCGTCTTGAACACTGGGCCGTACCTGAAACCACAAAGTATCAGAACACGAGAGAACCGGTTTGTATTCTACTATTGAAAACCACATATAGAAATTTTGAGATATAAAGTTATTATTAGGTATCGATTGGTATAAGATTCAGCATAACCTTCTTCCAACAACTTGAGTTATTGGGACCAACTGGTTATATGACATGGTATCGGAACTAGTTTGGTCAAGTGGTCGCGTGTTCGAATCTCCACGACCTCAATATTAACAGTTGATTAAAGCACAAGGTATGTGATCGCCTATGCAAACTTCAAGCCCATGGGTTGGACCTCGTTTGAGGGTGCGTGTTATAAAATCTAGTATAATCTTCTCCCAACATCTCGAGTTATTGAGATCAATTGGTCATATATGGGTTGCTTTATAACCTTCTCCCAACATCTGAGTTATTGAGACCAACTGGTCATATATGGGTTGCTTTTGTTTGATGCGACGTGTTAGTAAATTATATAAAATTTATTATTTAACATTTCTAACTACTCGAATTATTGGAATGAAGGTATTTTACACTTTTCCCCTCTAATCTTACTAAATATATACACTCACACTTAACAAACACCACCATTAATAGTTAAATATCAATCATACCTTTGTATCCTCTTGCTGATGAAAGGAGAGATGTCGTCGGAGGTGTAAGGAACGAAGAACTGAAGAGTCTCTCCGATGATCGGAAGACCCATCGACCCCGGTGGGAGTTTCGTGCCGATCATGCATTTAGCAGTAGGGCGGCTCCTTCTAGTGCCGAGCAGCCTGTAGCAGAGTATTGAGAAGAAGAGGACGCCCAGTGCTACGCTCAAAGATTGGATAACACTACTGCCATTACTACTAATGATGATCATCTCCATCTCTTAATTACTCTTTGGGGATTTGGTGAGTAGCCTTTCCCGGTGCGGCGTGCTTTATATAGTGCCCCGGCCAGCCGACCCAAACCGCGAGTTAGGTTCCTGCTAAGCTTGTTGATTGTGCAGACAATTAATGTATTTTACGTGCAAATTGTGCGTGGTGACGACCAATGCATGTAGGCTTGTATTTTAATTCATCAAAGAAACTCACTTCTGGTCATATATTCATTTTCTATCAATCCACTGTCCAAATTTGATAACATTTTCAAAATGTCATTTTGGTACATTCTCGTCTTGTTTGAGATGTTGGTCTCATTTATGTTTTCGTGAGGGTAATTTTATAATATTTTGGTGTTTTTTTATGTCATTTTAGAACACAAATATGAATTTAATTATCAGACTTAAAACCATTATCATACTAGTAATTAATCAACCATACAGGCATACATGTACGTGGGCACCGGGCCGTGCCGCCAACGGACTAACACGGCACGACACGGTTAGAGCACGACACGAGCACGAAATAAATGGGCCAGCCCGGCACGAGAACGAATAACTTATGGGTCGTGTCGGGCCTAAGCTTCATGGGCACGGGCACGAGCACGGGCACGGGACGGTATATAAGTGGGCCGTGTTAGGCCTAATATTTTCGAGACTTTATTGAGTATAAGAACAGACATGGTACGAAAAGAATATTTATTTGATAGAAAATAAATATAAAAAGAATTATAGGTTCAAATATTACAAAACACAAGTAGAAAAATAATTATTTGTTGTTGTTAAAAGTGTCATAAAGATATATACGTAATTACTAACATAAGTAAAAATGGACAAAGAATTAAACAAAGCCAAATCATACTTGCTATACTTCCAATTTTCTTTTTCCCCTTATTTGTTACTTTTCTCAAACATTATTGGTTAATACTATGTTCCTCCGTCCAATTTTCACCTTCCTTTTCATTCTCTCTTTTGTTTTCGTCCTTTTCATTAAACACGAATACGAGCATGACACGAGCACGAATAGACACGGCACGATTCGAACCGTGCCTGGCCCTGGGCCGGGCCTAGCAAAGTTAACAAATAGGTTTGCATGACACGACACGAAAACTGACGGGTCTTGCCAAGCACGACACGAAATAAATGGGCTCAAAGCGTGCCCGTGCCGGCCCAAGCACGATCCAGCGCCATGTACAGCATACACAACAAAATTTTCATATAATATACAATTTGACCAACAAACCTGCGATGGCTATCCTACGCAAGAGTGATATATACTATTTCATACCATCCGTCACATGATATATTGGTGTAGATTTTTTTCTTAACGAAGTAAAACGTTCTTGATGTGAAGGTCTAGTTGACTTTTTTTGTTTGCAAATAGTTGACTTCTCATATGGTGAGTCTAGTTGAGCGTTTTAGAATAATATTTATTAATGACATGTTGTAGGTTGATGAGCATGTTAGTTGTTAGGAGAGGAAGGTGGCGTTGGCGTATGCTTGGCCCAAATGGGAAATGGGTTTTAAAGCAAGTGGCCAAATGGTAGAAACAACATTTTGTTCTTCACAATTACTTTTTTTTTATTCATTAAAAAGATATTTACTAAGATTCGAACTATGACCACTTTAAATAAAAACAAAGATCATAACCAATCACACTAAGTACATTTGTTGTATCTTCTTAAATTAAAAACATATAATCGCAGAGAGGAAAAAACTCTTTCTCCATTTCAAATTCCCTGTTCCAGGAGCGTTTGTAGGAAGGGTAGAATAGGGAGTATCAATTTTTTTCCTTTTACTCTGTGGAACGGGCGAACTTACCGTACACATGCAGATTTAAACCGGTCCAGGAGTGTCGGTTTTTTTTTAATCCTTTTATTTCTCCGTGGTGGTAAAATATATATGAAAAGGCAAAAACAATACTCCTTTTTATTGCTAAAAAGAAAAAAATTTAACAATAAACTAGTGCATGAATTCTAATGGGCTAACCACTAATCATAAAATAAAAGAGTTGAATGGGTCTGACCTACACGGGATTTGCCCATCAAGTAAAATAAATGAACATCATGGGTTTGACATTCTAAAACAAGTTATTTTCTCTAGCATAATATATATTATGCAATTATTTTATATCTTAGTGGCTTAAATATAATGTATTTTAAAGTTATTCAATGGTTCAACCTCGACCAACCCAATTAGTCCAATTTTTATCATTTCAAATATATATTATATTAATATTTGATATCATGATGATTAAATTATAGTGTATATTATAGGGAATCGATTGGTATTTGTTAGTAAAAAACTAAACAGAAAGATCTATTTGGTTATTTTTAACATTAAAACGATCATAAACATTTTCAATTTCCTTTCGAAATTCTATAGTTTTATTCCCGAATAAGTGATGTGCAAATGGCGAATTGCAGTCATCTCTTTTCTTTCATTATTTATTATTTTCAAATAGAAAATTTAAAAGTAAAGAATAATTAGAGTTTGGCATTGGTCGGTCAAACATGCTGAATTTCAAGTTTTGGCCCGTTTTGATCAAGTCTAATTTATAATCACATAGTTCCCTGATACTCGATAAAAATCTCAATCCAAGCCAGTTTGCCAAGTGAGTCCGTGTTGACCACCGTTTTCTAGGGATACAGGAACGGTGGTTCTTATCCTAAATCGTGTTGTTCATTCTTGATTTCTTTGGATTTTATCATGGCTTGGAAAAAAACCAGAAAGCACAATGATGACAAGATGAAAGTTTTATAAAGCAAATTAATCGGCCCACGGGCCGAGTAAAAGCTAGCAACGATTGTGAGATGCTCATTTCACGAAAACCGGCGGGATATGCGATTTTTTATTCGATTTTTCTGGAATTCGGTTTCTATAAAACTTACTCCACCTCATCATATTACCAAAAACAATATTGTTTTAAAAGGTAACAGGTACTTGATTTTGGTTCATAAGGCTGATTTTTGATTCGTTGCATCATTCATGTCTATTTCCTATTTAAACTCACTATTTTTATCACGTGTTTCCAAAAAAAAAACTATACACTCAATTACATTATCAAATTTCATACCTCACCTTCCTCCGGACAAATGGTCGGGGCCCACGCTAGTTTTTTGTTATTATAAATTCATTTGCCATTCATAGCACTCTCTTGACGACGAAAGATGAGATGTCGTCCAAGGATGAATGTGTATGGAATAATCAAGAACGGCAGAGTTCCTTCTATGACTGAAATCGGTGCACCCGTTGGGAGTTTATCGACACCGATATAGGTTTTCGAGTTCCTGCAACGGGTAAAAGCAGTAGTATAACCTACATGTTGCTATGGGGTGTCGGACGACACCCATTCACACGAAAATTTTGTGAAGAATCTATATTTGTTTGGTACAAAAAATTTCAATACGAGATTTCCGACACCACTCTAATAATTATAGCCGATACTCGTTCATTAGACAACACCCTTTTCAAGGATACTGGGTCCACCACTAGTATAATGTGACAGGAACCCTTTTCAACAATACTGGGTCCACCACTAGTATAATGTGACAGGAACTAAAGGCTAAAGTAGTCATTTTTCATTTGTGGGAATCGAACCCGAACCCCTCTTCTCTCTTATTTTTATCACATCATCATCACCCAATGTGGATACTTGAAGTGTTGTGGATGTAAAGTGACTATATATTAATCTTATTAAACTAAAACAACCCAAATTTAGGGTTTTCCATCCAATTTTTTGTGTTATAATGCAATAAAGACAGAGGACATATATCCGCGGGAGGTACGTTTGGCCAACTGTCCACCCAAGAAATTGGCCATCATAAAAGCCAAAGGAGATCGGAACACAAAAAGACTGCAACACCGTGGGTAGATACTGTCGTAAACTAGTTGGTCCCAATAACTCGAGTTGTTGGGAGAAGGTTATGTTGGATTTTATAGCACTCTCTAACACGCCCCCTCAAACGAAAGCCAACTTACGGGCTTGAAGTTTGCACATGCCCACCATACCTTATGTTTTAATCAAGAGTTATATTGGGCATCTTGGAGATTCGAACACACGATCACTTGGCCAAACCAGCTCTGATAACATGTTATAAACCAGTTTGTCCCAATAATGAGAAAAAATGGGGGGAACTTTATGCGTCGAGTCTGGGAAACTTTAAGACACAGGGCCCCTAGAGTAGCGTGGTATAAGTTGGTTTGGAATAGTAGCTGTCCTCCGCGTTATAGCTTGATTGCTTGGCTAATTATGATGAATGCTATTACCACGTGGGATAAGCTGCTGAAATGGGGGAAAATCAGGACTGCTGAATGCCCGCGTTGCAATCAAGGAGTGGAGAACATGGATCATCTTTTTACTCAGTGCACTTTTGCAATGTAGCTTGCTACTAAGATAGGGTGTAGTCTGCTGCTGCAACTTGACTAGAATTCTATGGTTCATTCTTTTTCTTTGGCAGGTTCAGCACCACCTGGGGAGTGGTAGGCCCTTGTGTATGGTGTCTTCTGGTGGCGTTCATTTGGAAGGAGAGGTGTGGAGTTGTTTATGGAGCTTCAAAGCGCACACCTAGGCAAGTTGCAGGTCTCGTCAAATAGGAATTGACGTTCCTCACTTATGGGAACAGAGGAGCTCGAGATATCTTAGTGGGGTTGGGATACTTATAAAGTTTAGACTTTTTGGCTGTTTGTTTCTATGCAGTAGTATGGTGCACAAATAGGTTGAGATGAGTTTTCTGTTTGAGACTTTGGGATGATTATCCCGCTTTCGTTGTATTGGTTTCTTGGGAAATAAAAGCGACTTATTCAACGGGGAAAAAAGAAGTTATATTTAAGATATAATGTATAAATTGTTGGATTTAATCTACAAATTTGAAGTTAAAGCGTGTAAGAAGACTAAGTATGAATGTTAAGTGACTATACTGAACTTTTTTAGCAAACATCAATCTGAAACGACAAAAAATAAGTAAGTTGGGTTGTTGATGGGCATAGAACCCATATCCTCTAACATAAGACTAAGTATGAATGTTAAG